GGGGTCACTTCTGCAGAGGACTCCCCGGTCCCCTCCCCTACCTCTCTCTGTACCTTTACATTGTTCTTCCCAGCATTTATTATCAAGGGTCATGTTATGCATATGTTTGGTCTGCCTTCCCACTTAAATGTAAGCCCCACCAGGGCAGAGACTTGGTCCCTGCTACTCCCAGTTCCTAGAAGGGATTAGCACACAAGGCACTCATAATTTGAATTACTTTGTAGCCTGATTATAGCTTAAAATAAAACTTGACCACTCACTTTTTTCTTTGAGATATCTTCTATGAATAAGGCTTTGAAGGTAACACACTTGACGCTGACATGTTCTTATAAAAAAAAAAACAACTTACTTATTTTGAGGTCTTGTGTGTTTGAGTCTTAGAAGTGTGAAGTTCATTTACTCTGTGTTCTTCTCACTCAGGAAAGAGTTAATAGGAGTACTAGTTAAACATGTTCAGCATAACCACTAAGACATTTTTCCTCAATCATTTCTTTCCTCTGACCAATCACAGCCTAAAGAGCCTGCCTTAGGCCGTCAGTCCCTAACTATGCTCTTTGGCTTTAACAGTTCTTTCCTTCTACTTCCATCCTACCAAGGTGCCCATACGGGCCTTTTCCAATACAGCCGGCCTCTTGCCACAGACAGCTAGCACCCAGTGAGGCATATTCGAGTAGTTTGGGTTTTTGCCTCCACAGGGTGAGTTGGATTCTTAAGGCTTCTTAAGCTGAGGCTGGACTGCCCAGCTCCAGACAGCCTATCCCCTCCTCCACCAAACAGGCCGTTTAACATGTGTTTACAAAACCCATGCTTTTCCTTTGATGGTTTTGTTTTGTAGCAACCGAAATGATAGCTTTTGGTAAGCACAAAGTTTAGAGAAAGAGAAATATTCTTATAATAATAAAACAATCTTATTTTCTAATTGATAGCTATAAATACAAAGCAGTATAAGAGTTCTGATAATATATGTTAACATACATATATATAATGTATGTATATTATACACTCTATGTATTATATATATGTATATATATATAACGTCTTTAAATGAATACACTGGATAGAAAAGGAAAACGATTGGCTCTCATGCAATCCTTTTAATTAGGTCAAGGTTTTGTGCTGAGGATAAATGAAAGGGAACACTTTTTAAAATTCCCCAGTTGTTAGTGGCTAAGAATACTGAAACTGAAACTCAGTTAAAAAGTAACTTTAGAAAAATAATCTCGGAAACACTTTGTCAAACTATTTCCAAAGCCAAGAAAGTGCAAAGACTGAAAAAAGATTTAGAGGCATCCCTACAAAAGCCAGGAGGACACGCAGAGATGGGAAGTCTGGCAGGACACGACGATGAAGCATGTGCTGTTTTCCATTTTAAGTTACGTAACCTGGTTTTAATCATTTTCCAGGAATTTTTCCAAATTAGAAGAGAGGAAAAATCACCTTTAAAAGATATCAGTAAGACTAAACTTTTACTTTATCCTGTTTGAGATCAACCCTGGCCTCACAGCTCCACTCTGACAGGCCATCGCACCCGAGTTAAGAACGGTGACATAAACCCGCAGACTGAATAATGTGTCTCTACCCCCAATCTCTCATCTCTACTTTTAGCTGATGTGGCATTTCTGCCTTTTTCATTCACGCTAAGTTGAGAAAAAGCTCAAGCCTACATCAGATGACCTTCAAAACTTCATTTTCTGATGAAAAATAAGAAACATATACATTTCCTAGGGTATCAAAACTTTTGAAGAATGTATAGGTCAATTGAAGTCATAGTACAGATGTCATTAAGAACAGAAACTCTGGTCAGGTTTTCAGTTGGGCACCAGCAGACGTTTTCAACAACATTCCTGATAGGAAGACCTACACCCCTGCCCAAGATCTACATGTATTAATCACACGTGAAGAAAGACCACCAGTAATCAGAGGACAAAATAAGAATTCTGACATGTGGAGGAAAAGGAAAGCCAAAAGAGACATTATACTGAATTAAAGCAAAGAAAATGTCTCTTTTTAGAGAATAACTCTGCAATGTCTTTGCACGGAGTGTCTTAAAAGTGCAAAGGTTGATAAAACAGATTTCATTCCTAAATGCTACAAGCAGGGTTGTCTTGAGCTAACCCAAGGTACAGGCTAGAAAAAAGGAGAAGAGGAGGACAGTGAATGGGTGCGTAAGAAGCAGAGGAAGCTGGTACGGTGGGGATGGGAGGGAGAGGTGCATACAACGGAGCAGGGGCAAAGCACCAGGAATCACTTACACGTGACGCCACTGCTGATTTCTGCTCTACTCACTACAGTTCGTTTGGAAAGGTCCTATTTAATGGGGATGAGAAACTATTACTTTAAAAAAGAAAAATGCGGGCGCCTGGGTGGCTCAGT